TCGAGCAACTCAAAGAACTTCTTATAATCGATCAAAGTATGCCACTTGCCATCGACATAGAACCTCTCGCTAGCCAATAAGATACAGCAGCTGTGAGCGTGCTCGGCAGCGATGCCGTACTTGAGTCCCTTTTCCTTCAACCTCTTCTCGAGCGCCTTAACAAAGTCGCAGACTTCCCAGTAAAAGGGAACATTGGACATGCTCAATCCGGCATTGGAAGATGTTGATGTGCCACAGTATGTGACACCCTTGACCTCAACAAAACAGGGCAGACCTTGCTCCACGAGTCTTGCGTAACCCTCAGCTTCTTCCTCGACGTTGAACCCCTTGACGAGTGTCAAACGGAAGACAGTACGATGATGGAAGCGCTTCTCGCGAAGGATATCTAGACATCGGTTGAATCGCTCCCAGAAGTCTCGGTGGAGAGGTCTGTCAATCTTCCGTAGTGACTCCTTATCAGCTGCATCGATTGATACATAGAGTTGAGTCACAACCTTGAGAGCAGCCAACTGGTCAGGATGCTGAGCATTACACACGAGGAACGAGGAGATGCGTTCAGCGTGCAGCATACCAAGGAATTCGTTGATATAGGGGTAAAAGATTGGCTCCCCGACGAGTGACAAGGCGCAGTGCTTGATCTGCATAGCTTCGGCAAATCTCTCCGCTCGCACACCAGGCACACCGCGCAACATCTTGATTTTCTGATAGTGGTTCTTTTTGACTCCTTCAAAGATCAATTCAGGAGGATCAACAACCCAACGCCAAGTGGTTCCAACTGGATTTGTGCCGTGACGCCAACAAAAAACGCATTTATTCGAGCAAGAAAGTGAAGGGGTCGTTTCCATGCACAAGTGGCTCTTGATTCCGTAGAAAGAGTACTTATAACATGAGCCTCTTCCGCGGAGAGCAGATTTTGTCCACCGGCATGTCTTGACTCCGGAATGAGATCCCACGATTGCGTAACCTTGTTTAGTGAGAGCTTTGTATGTTGGTGATTCCTTTGCGACCATTTCTTTGGGACCTTGAGGGACTGCCTTCTTTGTAGAGGAGCCATAAGTGGTGAAATCAACAGCGAGCGGTGCTTTTTGAGTTGTCGAACCGTCGTCCTTTTTGATCATGCGCCCCAGGTCCTCAACATCATCTAGATCTCTTGCGCTCTTCGACTTTTTCTTGGGTTCTTCGTCGTCAAAGACAACTTCGCCATCATCTTCGTCCTCTGCGATATCTTCAACATCGCTTTCCTCGGCTGCTCCGCTACCGGGAACTCCTTCGCCTAAGCTTCCAGTACGTGCGACATGCTCAATGACCTCTTGCACGCCCTTACTCCATTCTTGTAGGCGCTCTTCGTGATCACTTTTCATGTCACCCATTCCAACTGGGTAGGCTCTCTTTCTAGCAGTAAGCTTAGCCATCCACTTGTCGACTTCCATAGCCTGAAAACAGAAACCGTCTGCCTCTGTAGGCCAGTTTTCACTGTCGCCAAAACCGAAAACCGAATAACCTAGAATACCTGACAGAGGAGCAGTATCTACTCGGAAGTCATGATGGGTTTCTTGGAGGTGCTCAAGGAATGTGTCGTTGATGGTATCGATGTTGTAGCTAGGAATTAGGAACAGGTAGAAGAGATCGGCGTCGCCGTGACCCTTGTATGGCGCAAGGAAATAATCATCGAAGTCTATCTCAGTGAGGTCTCGAAGTTCAGGTTTGAGGAATTGGCGGCCCGATAGCTTGGACAATTCATCCAGCTTTCCACAGAAATCCTCAATGTATGCCTCGGCAATCTTAGCTGTTTTGGTCGTAATGGAGGAGAAAAAGACAAGAGGCGCGACAGGTCGGGTGATATCCTTCTCCTCTTCCCTGGTCTTCGATGGCTTCCTCGCTATTCCACCCTTGATCCTTCGAGGGCCCTGAGACTTGACACCCTTTTTCTCTTCGACTGGCTCGATGGTGGGGGTCTTTTCTTCGACGACAACCTTGGGCTTGGCAGGCTCTTCGTAAACCTTCTTGAACGCAACTATTTCCGTTTTTTGACCATTGATGTGAAAGTATGTTCGAATTGCGACAAGGATGACACAGAGAGTCAGGAGAATTGGAGTTCGGTGAAGATGCCAGACATCAACCAGATCTGTAAGAGTCAGCGGCAAGATTTGCGACCATGGGAAAGCGACGAGACTCACCATCGACAAAGGAGTCGAGCCGCGAAGGCGACGAGTAATTTGCCCAATCCATTGTGATAACCTGCCAACTGCCCGACTATCCCTTAGAATTTGCGATGGGAATAGTTTGGGAAGAGCAAGTACACACAAATAATTGAAGAGACATCTGGGGAAAAGTAATGGATGTTGCCCCGCCCTCTGGAATCGAGAATTTTAGTGGAGCTTTGCGCTATCGTCACGCATCACCAATGGAGGGGCAGTGATTAGATAGCAGCTTATACTGTACGATCTGGAGCAGAATGGCTAGGACTCGAGGAGATAAAAATAATGATATAGTATAACTATTTCGTTCTACATCTAATGGTGACGGAATTCCAGGTAAGCAAGTCGCAGGTCCATTCTCCTTGAGGGCTTGGACATTATTTTAGTGTGTATTCATAAGAAATGCCCACTGTTTATCAATTTATTGTACATGATCAAGCTGTTAGATGCAAGACAGATTAAAGTCACCTAGACTCTTCTGTCTGAGCCTGCAGCTTGAGATTTGTCACGAAGATCCTTCAAACAAGGTGCGTGAAACATTTCGCCTGTGATAGCAAGCTTGGCGGTTCGAGTCGCTACCACAATCCACAGCAATATCACAGAGAGGGCTATCATCTATCGTCATGTTAGTAACCGGTAAGTAAAAGCATGTTCAGTTCCTTACCGCCGTGGAAACTTTGAAGTATTCGCTATCAAGATTTTCTGCCAATAAGTTTGAGCAGGTTGCCAATACACCAAGTGGGAAAGTAAATCCCCAGAAACCAATACTGAACGACGGGGGTTTTGTGGCAATGCTGATGAGGGCGAAAGCCAGCCAGACCAGAGCAAAACCATACATGATGAGGGCGAGGAATACTCCAAGGACATAAAGTATCTCACCAGCTCGAACCGCAACATCACCGAACGCATTGGTCTTGGGAAGCACCTGCATAGCAACTTTGCCGAGTTGCTGAATGCCGAAAGCTCCTTGACCGAGCGGTCCTATTGGGAGAAAAGACGAGGTTATCACCTCCTTCGGGGGGAGTGAGTGAATGGTCAGCCGATGGAAGTATAACGCTAAAACACAGGCCGAGAACAACTCGCCGATGCCCCAGAGAACATACGAGGCCACCAGAGTTGTAAGCGCATGGTGGTGATTGGGAAGAGCCTCTGCGACGATACCCCCAGTAGCAGCCGCAACCACTGCTGGCACGATGGGCAACAGGAGTGCAGCTGTTATGTTTTCGAGGCCAGGGCGATGGCGGTGCATGACGATGAAGGGCATCGTGATGCAAGTGGCAATGGAGAGCCAAACATCAACCCACCAGAATGCCCATGCTAGATATATTACCCATTCTCCCCATGGCTGTAAGCAGAACACCATCATGTTGATGATAGCTATCAAACGTCAGCACCCACTCAGCCTAAGGAATGTGTTACTCACTTGCAAAGGCCATGGGCATGCATCCTAGGAACAAACTCTGGCCCGCATGGGCGAGCATCGCTGACCAAATCTCTGGATACAACACATAACGTGCAATGCTTATACCAAGGAAGACAATAAACAGAACAACATTAAGCACGAGGAAAATATAAGAGATATACCGAAGCCATAGTGCCTGGTAAGGAAAGTTATGAAGCAATATGGCAACGATGCCTGTACCCATACAAACGGCGAACCATCTGTCGATGATGTTAGTGGTCAACCCTTGTCGAAATAGATACATGACTTACGATGGTGTGAAATTGCGTACAAGCCTCCTCCAGCCAGTGTTCTCCTTGCACGGCAGAGTCGACTCGCAAGGCTTGGGAGTAGAGCCGCTACATACCGCGCCGTTCGGAGTTGAAGTGGTACAGTCAGACATATTGCCGGCTCTTGAGGATTCAAGGGTGTCTGGTGTTACGTGAGCTGCTGATCGCTGGATGTGACGATGCAAAGCTAAAGTTTCCGGCTCACTGGCCAATCAGAGTGGAGGAAGATCGCTAGAGCCGCTAATATGGCACAAATCTGAGAACCCAGTATGATGTTGATTGCAATTCAATGTTTTAATCAGAAGGAAATAAGTTTTAACATGGGAATAAGCTGAGAAGGAAAACCGTTTCCCCTGCTTTTTAGACCTTGACGAGGCCGTTACAGCCGCCGTTAATGGATTTGTTCATAGTCACCGAGAACCGCCAATTCCGCCCAGAAGAATCCCAAGCTGTCAATTTACTAACGTCAAATGGGTCCACTTGTGGCTCAAGTCGGCGATAGCGGGTGTCGCAATATGGCGAATTTGAGTCCCCGAAAAAACAAAGAGGTATTAGTTTACCTCCGTACACATAAACTGGCTTTTCGAGAAGCCCTCGTGAACCCTTCGCTCTCGTCTAATTGTGATTTCTATCGTCGCATCTTCAGACTCGTAACAAATCACTTCTTTGTTATACAGACAAAGCGGTATCTAACTCGTATACCGCAAGGTACCCCAGGTACCTTGTTAGATTCTTGGGTGTTTGTTAGCGTTGTTGCATCCAACCAGAACCTTCAAATCAGTTCACAGGACCAGCGCTGCTGTGTCGTTCGCCGATTGAACCTGTCCGTGCCGCCTCAAAGTATGATGTCGGTTGCAATCTATGACCCACAGCAAGATGTCGGTGACACTATCTGCCAGCTTGTCAATACCGGATCTGACCGATAAGAATAATGAAGGGGATGGCCATGCAGTGTTGACCCCGCCCCTTATTCCAGAGTCTTTGTTGTCCTCTACTCAGGTACCATATATTCATGAGGTAGAACATCAATATCATCATAAACAACCAAGCATCATCGACAGCATAGCAATCATGGCCATCGGTATTTTCACCAAACCCTCTGCACTCGGCGTCAGCCACAACACAATCCCTAACGTGGGCCCTTGCCAGCAAAATCGGTTCGACGAACTCGTGGTGCGACTCAAGGATGCTCTTGGTCCATCATCGGGATTGACCTCTGATGATGTTGATGTTGACTTTCTTCAACAACTGATGGAAGGATATGACGGCGCCGACAACATGTGGAAGCCGTATGCCTTCGGTGATCGCAGTAGGGGATACACCCGTAATCTCGTTGACGAAGGTAACGGCAAGAGTAATTTGGTAAGCTTGCTAGAGTCGACTTTGACCCTTCCCAAACTGTGACTGACTTCTTGATAGCTTGTTCTCGTATGGTCTCCTGGAAAGGGGTCCCCTATCCACGACCACGGCAACGCCCACTGCTTGATGAAGATTCTGAAAGGCAACCTCACCGAGACTCGATACGCTTTTCCGAACGAGGATGAACAAGATAGACCAATGAATATCATTGGGGAAAGAACATATAAGGAAAACTCCGTCGCATATATGGCAGACGAACTAGGTCTGCATCGTGTATCCAACAGAGGTAGCGACTTTGCTGTATCCCTCCACTGTAGGCAATCCCCTTAATCCACGACACTTGTGCCAGAAACTAACCTGCAACTTTGCAGTGTACACTCCTCCCAACGTAGCTAAAAAGGGATGTCATATCTTTGACGAGAAGACAGGACGGAAAAGCCATGTACCAGGTTGTCACTACTACTCGGCTTATGGACGGTTGCTGAAGGAGTAGTTGACACAAGAAAGGACGTGATAGCCACGATTTGATGAGACATGACCTTGTTGTAATTAGCGCCGCAAGTATTGAGAGCTCTCCTTTAATTCGGGATGCCCAGATTGTTTTTGATGGTAGATGATGGGGGTGGAGGTTGGACGGAAGGTCGATCTCAGTATAGCAAGTACTTCGATATTAGCATAGAATGAACCGATTTGATCAAATGAGACCCGCATTCTATACGAAGACGTGCGAAGAGTGAATAATGAGGTGAAAGAGGAGAATCGGCTGACTGCTGCTCGTCGTCTTCTTCATCCCTCATCGCCGTTAAGCACGCAATCCAAGCTTTGCCCAAAATGGGAATGAGTGCAACGAGCACTGTTATACACTGTATTCGCAATCGACCGACCCGGCCGATAACCGTTGATGATGATAATAGAAATGAAGATAATATGGTAAAATAAATAATTACAAACTATACAGAGTTATTTTTAAGTGCTATAGTAAAGAGTAATATGTTCTTGATGTCTTGCTGAGAGAAAGAAACTGTTTTGTCTATACCGATAACCGGATCTCAATCGTGATTCCATCGCGCAATATATCAGCAAATCCCGACTACCTACAGATACCTGCTAGGAGAGGAAAAAAACTTAGGAGCTTGACCCTAAACAATAAAAAGATTTGGGTAACTTAGCATGGATTTAGTTGAAGTTTAAGATAGCTTTTGTCAGATTTATTTTGACGCCCTATATCAAGGCCTGATGTTTTCTTGCTCCCTGAGGACCTGCTCCTGCAATGGCTGACTTGAGACCTTTGAACTGTATGCAAGATTGGTCAAGGTATTCGAAACGCATCTGAGATCATCTGAAATATCCATAATCTACCTCAATTTGCTCATTAGGATTAAGAACTCGGGTTTCCTAGTTCCACTCGTCTCACGTTTCCGATGGCAGGCTGATTGTGTTAGTTGCTTGACCAATTACAATGTATGTTTGGTACACCAATTCTATAGCAGTTCCATAGGCTATGCTTCCATTATCTAGTTGCTTTTGTTATCGGCAACCTGCTATTCGTCCCTTTGAGCTCGTAACCTCTGATACCCTTCAGAGAACTATGGTATCTTCTGAGTCTACGGAACGTAGCGATGTTATGTATCTATTATCGCGGGATCTGAATCAGATATTTGACTTGAGATGGAGTTGTCTATTATTCTCGCTGATATTCTTGTAAGTTTCTTGCGGCGGAGGTAGAGCAATTGTGATCTCACTCTTTGGTATAGACCATCATAGCCTCAACCTGTCGCCTGACTCGAGCGCCAATACATCAAATGGGAGCTGCCTAACTAGTCGTAATCATCGAACTTCCCCAGCATGCAATATTTCTCCATGGGGATTTAAGCTTATCCAAAATCGTATCTCCACCCCTCATTCGTTTATGCGCAGCCTGTTCACTGGAGCGCTTCAACAACTGAGTTACATGGGTTATGAGCCGGGACCGAAAGATCGACACTGGGAACAATAGCTTCCCGTCCTCTATCCGAGGCATAATTGCAGGGGAGGCTATGATTTGTACGGATCGATCGAATACGCGGGTGTTCTGCATGAGGTTAGTTATCTGATTGATCATAGCCATCGGTACTCGTGCAGGGGACCTTTGAGATGCGGAGGCTCGTCCCTGCCGCATGAACAAATTATATAAAGACAGTTACATAGCTCATATACCGATGTTACGGACAACAAGATACAATAACTGTCCTGACTTACAACAGGTCGTGCACATTGAGCCTGAAACCTAATCATTTTCGCCTCAGGACAAGTTCAATATGCGTGTCATTACGCTCCTCGCAACGGCGCTCTCAGCATCTTCTTTTGCTAAAGCCATTCCTGCCGACAGCCCAAGACCCGCGAACAGCAAATATGTCGGCTATCTGATCTCTACCTTTAGTGACCCAACCCCTCAAGTTCAATGGCATCTGTCAGACGGCAACTCGGCATCGACCTTTCACTTCCTCAATGGGGGAAAGCCTGTCTTGACCTCAAATGTTGGAACCAGAGGCGTCAGGGACATCTTTCTCACGACCAATACTGCCCGCTCTGAGTTCTTTACTATCGCCACTGGTAGGCTACCGAAACATTTTCAGGAGGCCCATTACTAACAGGCTATGCCACAGATCTGGACATTAATGCTCCAGGCTTCTCGTGGGATCTTGTCACTCGCAACGGAAGTCGGGGTCTTGTTGTTTGGTCTTCGAAGGACCTCGTGAATTGGTCCAAGCCTTCACTCAGAATGTAATATACAAGATGCTTCGTTCAAACGTGAGATCTCGCTAATTCTGAATAGTGTAGAGTCAGACACAGCTGGTATGGCCTGGGCACCTTCCGCAGTCTGGGATGATTCTACAAACCAGTACTATGTCTTCTGGGCAGCCAGACACTATTCAACTTCAGACACGGAGCATAAAGGCACCGCGACTCTCGACCGCATTCGCTATGCTACAACCAAAGACTTTAAGACTTTCAGCGCGCCGAAGGATTACCATGCCCCCGATGACACTGGCCTCATCGATCAGGAGTTTTTGTACCTAGGCAAACCGGGGTATTTCGCACGCTTTCTCAAGAACGAGACCATCAACAAAGTGTATCAGGAGACCACAACGACCGGTCTTTTTGGAACTTGGACCCGTGTTCCAGGCTACGTCCGACCCGAATCGCCCCTGGAAGGCCCAGGTGCATTTGCTGATCTTCGCACACCTGGACTATACCATCTTCTGCTCGATGATTATACTCAGTATATCCCTTTCCAGACTTCCAATATTCTTTCTCCAAACTGGGAGAAGTCAGACTTCCCCAACTTCCCCAAAGGATTGAAGCATGGCTCAGTGACGCCTCTTACAAAGAAGGAGTACGACGCTGTTGCTGCTAAATTCGGCAATTGAGCACCTTCATAATCTAATCAGGATTCTGTAATTTAAGAGCAGTGGATCGTCTTGTTCATCTTGATCATCTTATGAAGTTGTCATGTAGACTTGACAGATCAGAGTGTCGGACAAGAACACCCAGACTGGAGCAGGTTGTCGAATGGAGATAATATGTATTCATGCTAGAATTATGATGTCAAACTCTATATATGTACCACCATGATTCTATATCTACTGCTTTACCCTCTATCATTGCCCTCTGCTCACTCTTTTCAGTCCCCTCCTAAAAGTAATCTACGCCTGTTGCACATTTCATTCCTCGGTATCGCAACTTGGCGAAACAGATAAAATCTCCCTAAAGCAACTTGCAAGATGTATTTTTTGTCAATAAGGCCATGGGGATGCGATTTGCCCGCCATTCTGAGCCAACGAAAAACAGAACACAAAAGTACGATGATGCAATTATGTTCTATGGAGTATCTGGCTAAAGTATACCCTAATAATTCTTAAAAAATAGCCTAAGATTCGAGAGAGGTATTACTGGAGGTAGAGAGCAGCAATTTCGAGTACGGAAAATGCGTTTCGCTTCGTCAAGCACGAGACCCCTCGCCAAGTACCGAGCGCAGATAGCTAGGCTGGGACGATATTATGTTTTCTTTCCTCTAAGACTCTATATAATTCTTTAGCTTGACCAGATGCCTTTCTCTATTTATTTCTCTATGTCTAATATACACAATTCCTATAGCTCACCCTCATCAACTATCCCCTCACCCATTGAGGCGATCATTGGTTCAAGCACTGGAGGAATTGAGCGACTTTTTCTCTCGACGAGCTTGAAACCAAGCAGAAGTATCGCCCATTGGAACAGTAAATGGCAATACGTCTTGGCAAAGGTAATAAGCTACAGTGTAAAAGCCGAGCAGACCCCCGATGAACCCAAACACTCCGGCAGCGTGCATCAACGCTTTGCTTTGTACAGCATTCCCATCCGCGGAAGCAAAGTAAGACGAGGCGTCAAGTATAAGACATAACTCAATGCAAATAAAAATGCAGATATAAACCAGGTTACTGGCTGGCAATTAGCAGGAGAGTATGAAGCCGGGGCAGCAGACTTACAGTTGGATTGAAGCGATGAGAAAGAAGACGTTGAACACTGCCCATATCAACACAAAGAATCCCAGTGCATTGTTGTATTGAGGTGTGTCGACTCCTCCGTAGGCGTCGATGATGCCCCATGAGGGGAGCAGTGTTGCACCGTAGCCCCCATAAAAGAGAGCTTGACTCTGTTAGCAGTGCTTCACTATCACATTGGAAATATGGCTTCTAGATTACCAAAGGCTGTCAGAACAGTATATGAGAAGGTATCGCCCTTGAGCATTGACCATTGGGCAGAGATAAGTAACCCAATGCAGGCAACAAAACAAAGGTCTCCGATGAATTGAGTCTGTAAGGAAATACCTCGGAACTCCATCATCGCCAACGAAACCGACAGCAAGGTTGTAGCAAAGCCTCCCATGGCAAGAGGAGCCTGACCTTTGTTAGCTGTCTGCATGATTCAGCGCCAAAATGCCATACCGGATTGCCTATCCTGTCTCCCAGTGGCTTAGAGTACTCGGAGATGAGAACCCTCTCATCGTGTTTTGTAGACGACACTGACTGTGCCGCCATGTTTTGATTTGGACGACGTCGACCAGATAATCCTGCTCAATATCTCACTGCATGTATTCGAGGTGCTGTAAACAGAAGTACAATGGCTGGTGGCGATCAAGTCAAATCGAATGTCAAAACTTGTAGCTTGACTGCAGGAAAGAGGTGAGATTGGCAAGATGTGACTAACATAAAAGTTCAAAGGGGGAACAGCCTGCAGGATGAAGCTGGGCGGGTATATATAAGCAAAGAAGCCTCTTACATCAACCCTTGTGTCTCAAGGAGTGGCCTTCGGGATAAATAGGCCAGGCTATTCAAGGCCAGTGGATCCTACGGGGTAATCTTTGAGTTAACATGGTCTAGAATATGGGGGTATCGCAGATTCGAGGGCTACTAGGTAGGCTGTAGAGCATTCGTGGTGCACGGCAGATTATTTGAGGCTCTTCGTAAGGCTATGACAATGTGACACATTCTGAATAGACAAAGTAAGGACCTGGGAACCTCAAGGAACGTATCAACTTAAGCATCTATATAATATCTTGAACTCCTTTTCTTTTAATTAAAGGAAAACCATGCTTTGTATGCTTTCACCTCACTCCTTCAGGACAAATCTCGACAACCTGAAAGATCCACACTCTAGTTTAGTCCTTTGAAAGCACGAACCGAGGATGAGATCAATATCAGTTTAATGACACACAGAAACGACCAGTGATGCGGCTGTTATCGGAATTTCGGAATCACGACATACTTAATACGTGCGAGTTTGACTTACACGACATCCGAGCTCGGCTTGCATACGCTAGTGCCCGGTTGCCGGCCCCAGAATCCTAGACAATTATGTGATGGATAAGCTTGTTTTGGTAACGTCCATAGACATTGGATCAATCTACTACGTAAAATGGTATTTATCTAGTCCCATTATGAGCATAAGGCTCAGTCTAGAATCGGGTTGCCCCAGACTTTGTATTATTCTCTAGGCCGGGATAAACCGCTATTATGGGGGAAAACAACGTGGCCGTTGTTTTAGCCTTTTTCAACGAGCTGTCGGCTAAACTTTCCGAAACGAGCGATAAAAAGTATTAGAACAAATACATGGTCTAATATCCATGATCAATAATAGCAATAGTAGAAGATACTGTATGAGTATGTCTGGTTGGAAGCTAGACTGTGAGCCGCTTGAGTGTCCATGTCAACTACACGCATGGCCCGCTCTAACAACCACCATGAGTTAACATGGCAAAACTATTTGATATAGTTGAAGGGTTTTTGTAATCTGGTAAGAGAGATAAGGTATACAGCATATAAGCCATAGACTCGATAAGTCTGTATACTTGATCAATTGCAATAACAAGCTGGTGGAGCAGATAAGAAGAAAAAGAGCTCAGACAAAACTTCGAGGAAAAGCAACTCTAACCATAGAGATATACTACTTTACCAGGGAATTCCCCAGCTGAACCATAAACTTGTAAGGAACTCAACACTATGTCACAGTTCTCACAGCCAGTGCTTGTCGTCACAGCCTTGCTGAACGCCTTGCGCTTTACATGTGAGCCTAAAAGTCTAGGGACAATGAGGATGAAAACCTTTGAGAGCACTGGTACGGCATAGCCTCGGCCCATAATGTTCTAGCCCTGCATCCATTGGTTGGGATTCAGCCTCAAGCCACAAGTCTATAGGCCTCCGATCAATGATCCGTTAGAAAAAGGAGCTTCCTTCTTGAGCCACGTCATCTTTTAAACTAACAAGAACATTTTAATCCCATGAAGATATAGGTGCTGTCGCCTTTCGTAGATCATCGTTATACGGCACCTTTTTTCTCCTCTCTACTCTACTTATCCAGGCCAGCAACAACAACCACGCAACATGAACAAAAAGTCGGCATTGATCAACATACGCGCTCCAAATCTCGACTATGAGCCCAACAAGGCAATTCGCCTTGGCCACATTTGGAAACACCCAATGGATCCCGGCTCGTTCTGTGGACCGCCTCTCCCCATTCCCGAAGACATGGAAACGGACCATACTTTCAAAGCCCCTTGGCATATCGGCAAAGGCAGGGCAAACAGTGGATCGTTGGGATATGGGCCAATTTCCTCCAGGCTGTAGGCGTTACAGCAGAATCCAGTTTTGACTGCAACAACGCCAATGATGTGTCCCACACATGCGAAAGACTGGATACATACTCAATAGAGCCAACGGACAATTATGTCAAAGAGAGCGTCAAAGCCGTTGCTGCTGAGGCTTTCAAGCGTAGACAGCGTCTGTTCATGGTGACAGGCGTCAAGATAGCACGTGGTGCAGTTGGCTCAATCTCCTCTTCGAGGCGTGTTGGGGGCGGTGCAAGAGCTGGATTCGGAGGTGAAAGCTTCGGCGTCCCATTTGACGGCGGACCGCAGTTCAAGATATCCAGGGATACCTACGGCGAAGAAACATATGGTTAGTCGTCGGATTTTGTCTTTGCATACCGTGTCCGCCGAATCATTTATCCTAAAGGAGGCTGGGAATCGATGCAGGCGGGATCGAGCATTGTGAATTATGGGCGATGCGAAACGGACGTGGGAGCGTCTGTTTTGGCTGAACTGAGATCTCGGCCTTTCAACTCTAGGCTTGAGTTTTCTGAGGCCGATGAGGCTGATGAGGCTGAAATATCAGGTCCTCTGTTTTTGGGTCACCCGTCGACATGGCAAGAAGTATGCGAGAGTGAGAGCGAGGGCAAGGGCAAGGGCAGTCTGCAAAACGGAAGAGCTAAACACGAAGTTGTAGTATCTCCGGAAGTTGGCTACTTTGCTGGGTCTTCAGGGGCCAAAAGCTACTTTTCCTCAGAAATCGATGGGCTCATACTTGGGGATGACCGTTTCGTGTCGGGGGAGTTCGGGCATGAGGCCGACCTAATACCTTTTGTTGACGACAGCAGGGAGGATGGTCTATTTATCTCTTCTCGCTCATGAACTGCGCCAGTCTTTCTCTCTTATACTGAATCTCGAATAATTACAACTTCTCGAAGGCTAATGGGATAGAGCGACTTTAAAATTCAAAACACATTCTCAGTAACATTAAATTATTCAATAATACAAGACTGAGAAGTGAAAATAAAGTCCAATATATATAAGTATTTCTTAGAACTTAATCAAGTATTGAAGTAAAAACAATTATAATTTTTCTAGTAAATATACTATAAGAAAAATAAGAAAAAAGCTAACAGTCTCCGGTACAGGGAATCGAACCCTGGGCTCCGCGGAACTGATCTCTCAGGTTATGAGAGCGCGAAATGTTAGCCACTACACCATACCGGATTGATTTTACGCGTCGCAATTAAACTCTAGATTGCCTTGCACTTGGTCAGTCCCTATCCTCCGCCGATTTCCGACGGCTTGCGGGGTTTTCTCTCCATATTTCCTACCTCTTGTTACCTGACAATGACTGACAAAAGAACACGTGAGGATTCGGCCACTGGCTCAATTGGAGCTCAGGAATCAGTATCAGTAACTCCAGTCGAGAATGAACCCTCCAAGAAGCGACGTCGTCGGATCCTCTCTTGTGACGCTTGCCGCCGACTGAAATGCAGATGCGAGCTGGACTTTGGCTCTGACACTTGCTCAAGATGTCGAAACTTGAGAATACCCTGCCTTAGAAGCGATAGTCTGGATCAGTCATATGGGACACAAGAAGCGAGCCATCAGCAAGATCTTGTGAAAAGGTACCAATGACTCTCCCAGTTCAGCCAACATTTCTCTTAGAGTCCTAACCCTGGATAGTTTACATCAGAAGGTGTTGCACTTGGAAAGCTCTATGCAAGATATAAGGTCCCAGCTAGTAAAGCTCCAATCCGGACGGGACTCAACGCATCAAAGTGTCGTTGAGCAAAGTGCTTCTCCTCAAGCATCGACAAATAGTCGTGTGCTGATGGACGAGATCGAGCCCGCGGATCAACATGTTCATGCTGCTCCAGCTGAAGTCATCCGACGTGTCGCCTGCCAGGTAACTGGCGACTTAAGAAGGGCTTTCCACACAAAAGAGGATGTTGTTCACATGGGTATGCTCAATGCCACAGCTGCTGAGAGCCTTGTCAAATCGTAAGAGGTCACCTTTCCTATTAAGTCACAGAATCCTACTGATAGTAGCCTAAAGCTTTATTCGACGACGTCGCCACGTTCTTTTTATAAATGACGAGAGCGATCTAGTAACCAGAGGCTCTTTGATCCAAACGTCACCATTTCTTCATGCTGTGTTGTGCTCGCACGAGATGAGGTTCACCCACACGAGCCAGACAGATGCCTTGAAACACAGGCAAGTCTATGAGCATATGCGAAACATGCTTGGTCAGGTAGTGCTCGGTAGCCCATTGCATCTTGAAGAAATTACTGGTGTTCTCATTTGTTCTCTCTTCGCCGGATCACCATCGGTAATGCCTCCAGTGCTGGCTGAATATATTTTTACTGATAGATCTAGTGCGAAGCTGAATATGTCGATAGCTGGCTTTTGAGTGGTATTTGTTCACAGCAGGCAATGCTGTGCATTCAGTTCTCAGATATTCATCAGCGAACCAATGCTGGAACTTCAACGAAGCTGGACCTTCGATCAATGAGAATCTGGGCAAACATATGTCTAAACCATCTGCAGTGAGTGAACTCCATACCTTTCTTTTTGAAACGCTCGAAAGCTGAGGATAGTTTCAAAAAGTTGGTCAGCTACTACAGGTAGACCATCCATATTACCTAGCTCGTACTTCAGCCAGTGCAGGAATCTACTCAATTTCGAGCAGACCACAATGCGCGATGCGATGCTGCTTGCTGAAATCTCACTTTACTGTACACTACAGAAAGAAGACTGCGTTAAACCAACCTTCACGAACGATGGTTTCAGCTCCAAATTTGCAATTTGGAAGCAGCAATATGGATATCTCCTTGGTAAGGAATTCATGATATTCTACTAATACTCTGGTTGCTAATGGTTGCAAGATCTACCTACAGGTCTTATGCTGAAGTTCAGTTACTGTATTGCCAACGTCATCCTAGCAAAACGAACTCTGGATAGGGTTGAAGCAGATGCCTTGAATCTAGCCTCGTCGCTCTCGCCACAGACGTCTCGCAGTTCTACAGTGAATCCCCAAGACCCTTCCACGAAGTCCCTACAAGGCCACGTATACGAACTTAGCTTCCGAGTCATACAGGCATTCATCGCCATTCCAAGTTCAAGCTCTGGAGATTTACCCGAATTCCACTCCCTCTGCGTTGCGTATTCCTTGCTTATTCTAGGTCAATACGATGAGCTGCCGCCTGCAATAGCCAAAAACGAGCTCTATTCTGCCTTGCAAGAAATGAGGCGACGTTGCAGTGAATCGAATGCGTATTCCGTGGCAGTTCGACTCAGTGTTGAGCGGGCTTGGGAGAATTTCTTGAGGGTAGATGGTGTTAATTCGGTCGAGGTTGTGCGGCAAGAGTCTCAGTTTCATAATCATGCTGCTCAGAGCACCAGTGCCAACAAGGCATGTCACAATTCTGGGGCTGGAGGTCAAGTCGAATCTCTTGATCTGGACTTCTTCTTCAATGGGGGTTACTTGGATCTGCTTGACGTCGACAACTTCCTCGTCTAGCATTCAGCCGATATGCCTTTTTCACTCGCTTTGAAATTGTAGGTCTTAGGCTATGACCCAAAGGACTTTCCATCAGAGAATCTACTTAATTTAGTTTGCACTCCCTTTTGAGCGGTATAACATGTCTTTCAATTACATCTGTTTGCTATCCAAAGTGCATTCTTACTGCTGGCCATTCCTCTTATAGGTATTGAGGGGTATTGCTTTTAGACAACAAACTTTTCAATGAAAGTCTTCTTAATGCTTAACTCCGACAAAAGATCTTCTACTCAATAATCTTTGTGCTCATAAAACTACGTACATAATATTATTGTCTAAATCGCTTCTTCATTCTCATTATCATAGGCGTCCAATAAAGTGCATCCAGCCTATCCCTTAGATGATGATTAAATCCATAAGTAACTGCATTCGCAAAGCCGATGAACTGCGTTGAGGTATTGAGAGCAGCAATCGTCGTATCTGATACCGGCGTCTGAATCGCTTCCAGAAGTCGATTCGTAAGTCCCGGAATCCAGAGTAGAACATACATAACCGGATACCCATTCAGCAACATCATCCGCTTTATTTCTACTTCAACATCGTGGGTATCCCGGCGCTGAGGGAATTCGCTGGCGTTGGTTTGTAGTACGTTGATCTGATGCTGCGGAATCGGTAAAGCTTCAGTTGGTTCAGTGTTAGCAAGTCCAGTATAGGCCATCTCTGCTCCTCTTCTCGATGATGTTGGCCGATGACGGACAGAATCTCTCCTTGCTCTGCTGTTGATCGCCTCGCTCTCACCTTTTCTTTCCATATCCTCGATTTCGTCTATCTTGTTCACTCGCTCGAAGATGGGCGAAATTGGTGTATCAATATTCCCGTATCTCGTCTTGAAAGTGTCCAGCTCGACTTCGTCCTCCTGCATAACTTGGAATCCCGCGTCCTTGGAGCCTTTGGAAAAGAGTGTATTGGTATTGTGCGTCGAGAAAGTTAGAGGCTGCCGAGGTTGTTTTGGTTTTGAGCCCAGATGTCTTCTTAGGTAAATCCAGATATAGATGTAGATAAGAATAGTAGTGAAGATAACGAAGAAGCGCCAACCATGCGTCATACCGTAGCGTAAGTCTGGCCGGGTTGCTGATATCCAGCACCAGTTCCCGCCCACTGGCTTCATCTCACCCACAGCAGTCGGTATGATACTTGTGATGAGAGGCATTGTCCATACTGCGGCACAAATCAATGCTTTCTTCGTTCTCGAAGTTGTCGGTATATACAACATTCTCTTCACAGTGAGCAGGGTTGTAACCGAAATAGCCAGGACTGAAAAGTCAGCTGCTGAAACCGACAACTGGCCGATAAACCCGTTGACGACGCATGGTATCCCAGCTTGGAGCTGTCCAGTTCTGAGGAATATGCTGCCTGATATTGAGTTGTTGAGAGTGTTGATAAACTCTAAGAAAGAGTATTAGTTTTCGATTCGACAGTAGCGGAAGAAGTGCGCACCTGCAACCATAAGATTCAACACGAGGATATGTCGAAAGTTTCGGAGATGCCGACGATATATGACGAACGAGATAAGTACACATGTCGTGGCAACGCAAGATAACAGGCTTCCAGCCAGTGTCACGGATGAGATGAGTTTATCGACTTTGCCAGTCATATTGGCTGGAATTTACGGTCATAGTAAAGGCAGCTGCCGTTGAAGAGAACAGGTTTGAAAGGGTATGATCTAGGTGTTATATCGTCTCCTTGTTTCCTGCTGGAATACCCACTCGTATTTCAAACAAGGGTCTGACCCCTTGTTCTTCGGTATGGGTCTTGGCATTTCGTGAAGCTTATTTCCCCACATCAAGAGGCATGGTATTCATGGGGATGTTTAAAGCCCTTAGTGCCATTACCGTATCTCTACTATGTTGACATGCTAAGTACTAGAAAGTATAAGAGCGCCAAGTGAAGTGGCTCGTACAGTCTTGGATCAGAGCGTCTTGAAGAGTTCAAAATAGAGTTTAATCGTGCTACAAATACCCAGCAAGCGAGTTTGAGAAAGTCCAGGATACACTTGACTATATTTATTCCGTGCACTATACAAGGTTTGCACGGTCTACCGATACTACCATTCTCAGAATCTCCTCCGAAAATCCTAACTGCTTCGAGTTGTGACACAAGGTTGACTCTTATAGCGTCGGTGGCTGGAGTCCTCCGGGCTAGCATTGCCTTACAAGGCAAATTCAGATGGAGGAATATGCAAGGGTAATACTCGCATTGTTAGAAGCGAGCCTCGGCGTCGCCGATCTATACGAGTACTGTTGGACATCAGATGAAACCAGGACCTTAGAGCGTTCGAGCGCCTAGGATCCTTAGTCCAGGGGGCGGAAATAAAGATATGACGAACTTTGCTGAATCTGTCCTAAAGTATCATGAACTTGGCTATGTGTTCCGTAGAACTACCACCTAGAATTGAATTCTTGAGTTACATCAACCCCTAGTTAGGCTAAGCGAAGTCATCGTTTTATCGTGCCTCCAACTTGATATTTCCTTTTCTGGTGCCTTTTGGCAAGCCTCCCCGTCTCTAACCATATAGTTCTCGTGCCACCTCATAGGAGTTGATATAATCAATGCCCTGTTTCCGCCAGGTATCATCCTCAACCCAGTTCTTCGTAGCATTGAACACCATATTTTTGGGCTTTGACTTGCTGTACTTTGGCCATTTTGGAAGTTTCCCCTTCTTCGAATTAGGATCCAGACTGTTGACGAACCTTACATAAGCCTGTCCAATGGTGTTGGCCAACACTGCGTGACTATCGTACTGCGGGCTTGGTCCTAGCAACCCAGATATGTTCTGGAAGCTAAATGCAACATTATCAAAATGCTTCACGCCATCCCATTCGGATCTCAGGTATGGTCTTTGATCGAACCGGTAGGAGTAAACATCTTCAGACTGGGCATATAGTTCTGCGAGTTTCCTGCGTCCTGAGATCATGGTTATGTCGGCGCCAATAGCACAGGCACGTCGTCCTTGGTAGTTTCCATCCTGTCTTGAGCAATCAGTGATGGCGTAGGGAGGTTGATGGCATGGATCATCGGGATAAAGTTCCATGAGCTTCCGTATTGTTGGGGCGCTCAGAGCATAGTTCCGCCACCGAAAAGCTTCGTAGAAGAGATCTTGATCCGTGTTGACCTTTCCGATACAGAAGCCTTCATCAGTGTTTGCTCCAATTATAAGAGGCACGGTGTGATAGTTCTTCTCGCGGATGAGCTGGCTGGGGTAACCGGTCAAGAAAGTGCCATCGATCAGTGGGTTAAACGTCAATGAAGGGCGCGCAGCATATAGCGACTTCTCATCCAAGTCTCGGAGACACGCAAGCTGATCCTTTTTGTCCCAGCACCCGACAGTCCTTGTGAGATTCTCAAAAGCAACATTGTAGTAACTGAGATCATGAATCTAGATAAAGTCAGTCAGCAAACTCAACAATCGTGCCGTTGAAGTTCATACCTGTGCACCTGTAATACCTCCTGACTCAAGGATAGCTCCCCGATACAGCCCGTCATCTCGACCATCATAACTAAACATCTGATACGCAATGCTCTGAGCTCCGGCGCTCTCACCCCACACAACAACTCGTTCTGGGTCACCTCCAAAGGCTTCAATGTTCTCTTGGATCCAACGCAGTGCAAGTCGTTGGTCTAGGAGGCCAGCATTGGCGTTACCTTCCTTCAGAAGGCTGAAATTCTGGAGAAAACCCCACATCCCTGGAGGTCAGAAAGTTAGTAGTGATGCTTCAAACGGAACCCTGACATACCTAATCTGTAGTTAAAGCTCACTGCTAGGATAGGCTCTTTGATATCTTGACTGACTTTGACGATCCCGCTGAGGTTGTATTGTGGGTCAGCAGAGCTGCCAGCGTAAAGACCACCGCCGTAAATCCAAACTCTGCGTTTCCTACTATCAGCCTTGAGGGAGTATTTGTTGTTTGGGGGGCATACAGGACTGGTAGAAGTTTCTTTGGTTTTCCAGCTGGTCGAATAACATTCAAAGAAAGGCAGTCCTCAGACATAGTCCAGTTCTGAGTGTACTGCATGCAACTGTCTCCATACTCGGTGGCTGTGCGTTCCTCTGTGAAAGAACTGTCCAAGCTCTGGGGCCACTTGAATCGGAGATTCCCAACAGGGGGCTGAGCGTAAGGAATGCCTAGAAAGGCATCTTGATCCCAGTCAGGCAGGTTCTTGCCAACGTATGTTCCGTTTAATGTCGTGGCTTTGGGAGAAGCTGCACTTGTCGTCCAGGCCAACGCAGCTAAGAGGAAGAAGAATATCGACATCATATCGAGGTGTGCCACTTTGGCTAAAAGGTAGTCACGACACTAAAATCTCTCTTGACTTCATCAATACCAAGACTTGAGCATCAGACGTCTTATAAGTCAGTCACGCATATTGTTCTCAGACCTCGCACTACTACTCAAACTAGGGGCCATGTTTTATTGCCACGGCCACAATGTTTCCACCAAGGATAATCTAGGAAACTGTTGTCTATTCTACACAGTGTCGTAGCTCTGACGGGGTATGAGATTAATTTGACTATTCCCCGCGTTGCTAGCCCCAGGAAAGGATGTCGATCTGGGGTGATTGAGTTGCGGGGTGCGGAGCAACCCCGATGGGAAGGAGACTCAGATCCTTGTTTGGACAATTATTACTTTGATCTAAAGTCATTCGGATCGGGAACTCTGAAGGATTTTGAGCTCTTGCAACAAGGGGAGCTTCTGTGCATGATAGACAGACTTGGTAAGGGCGTCAGTAGGCAAAGAGATACAAAACGATCAAACTCTAGAAATATCTGGCAAGAAGACGCTTGCTACAAATGATCTTATTCCCTGGCACTAATGCTACTCTCGCCTTTAGGCAAATATCATACTTGAAGCAGTAGACCAGTGTACGCTTGTCGACTAACATGACCCCTGCACCTGAAATTTAGTCCCGGGAATTTCTTTTACCACCAATCAGCTTTCACCTTGTGACTTGTTCAATATCAA